CAGCTCCTGCCTCCAGGTTCCTGCCCTGAGTTCCTACCTTGGGCTCCCTCAGTGATGAACTGTAACCCAGGAGATGTAAGTCAAATAAACACTTTCCTCCCTAAGTTGGTATTGGTCAGAGTGTTTTGTTACAGCAATTGAAAGTAACTAGAACACTTGTCACTTCATATGTGGGAAAAGGTGACTGAGAATAATCCTGGAGGACTCCTAGAGCTGGTACTTTTGCCTTAAAAATCTGCTTACAATTAAATATAAGGAAGAACTTTCTAATTTCCAGAATTGTCTAAACAATCATTAGACCCTCACCATTAGCCACTCCATCTAGCCTCCTCTCTCCTTCCAGCTGTATTCATTTCTGCCAAGCGACATATAGTCTCAGAAGGTGCTAGAGTGTATAAAGGGGTGGAACTATGCAACAGTGGGAAAGTTTATCACCCATTAGTGGGTGAGACTTTTGGGTGATGTGGCTATTTGAGGTCACCCACACTCCTGTAAGTAACCCCTTACCTATGCTCCTGTAAATAGCCCCAGTAAGCCCACTGGCTCACCAAGCTAGACTTGGGTGGAATCATTATTTTGGTCTGCCATTGGTTCCCTATCTGGGGGGAGTCAATGCTTGCTTATGTCTCCCCAGGAAAAGTTCACACGATCAAAGTTTAAATGTGTCTTGATAAATGATTTCTTGACCTAACAGTTTCAAGCTCTCCATAATATTGAGAACCTCCAGTTCATCTTGAAAGACACCAACCATTAATCTTTGGCCATATGTAAGATCACGAATACATCTTTTTTCTTTCTTGGCATTTTGAATTTGCTTTCCTAGGGATCAGAGTACATTTTTGTGTTTTATTCTAAAATTTTTCTTTTTCAATATTTTTATTACGTGTGTGTGTGTGTGCGCGCACTGGTGAATGCCATGGCATACGTGGAAGTTACAGAACAACTTTCAGGACTCAGTTTACTCCTTCCACCATGTGGGTTCTGGGGATCAAACTCGGGTTGTCAGGCTTGGTGGCGAGTACCTTTACCCACTGAGCCATCTAAGTAGCCCCCAATTTTTGGTTTTTGAGACAGATTCTCAGTATGTAGCCCAGGATGACTTGGAACTCACAATCCTCCTGCCTCAGCCTTTGTTAAGTGCTGGGATAATGGGTGGCACCACCACAGCCAGCCTAAACATCTTCAGTTATGTTCTCATATCTCTGAAATAATGATTTCTCTTATAATTGCTGTCTCACCATAGTTTTCACTGCTCACATATTTATAAGCATTAAAATGTCAGGATCAACATTTATTGAATGGCTGTGAGCAGTTTGGAAGAAATTTCTAAAGGCAACAGTGAAGCAACACTTAGGTGTGGAACAGGTATGGTAGGCAGAGAAGCAGAGTTTGGCAACATTCCTAACACAGAAGTGAAAAGCAGACTCCAAATAACCATAAAGTCAGCTTATAAACTTAGCAACGATGCCCGTAACCTTTGTTTTTGTGGGGTTTTTTTATGGTTTCTTTTCAGAAAAGTTGTATTACCAATGCTCTTTAAGAGCTAGACATGGATATAAAAGTGAGAAAACATGGACACTGATGAATAAGCATAAAGGTGATTCAGTTTTAAGAATACTTTACCCAGTTTACTTTACATATGTTTTCCTGTTGGGGAATATATAAAAGTGATTTACGATTTTTAATATTTTATTTTTATTTATGCATATGAGTGTATGGCCTGCATGAATATAAGCACATCTGTGTCATTAAATGCCCATGGAGATCAGAAGAGGCCATTCTGAGATCCCCTGGGACTGGAGTTATGGATGTTATTAGCTGCCATGAGGGTGGTGGGAACCAATCCCAGGTCCTCTACAAAAGCAGCCAGTTCTCTTAACCATTGAGTCATTCTCTCCAGCCCCATAAAAGTGATTTATGATTTTTTAAAATATATTTCTAGCCTGGAATGGTGGTTTATGCCTGTAATCTTGACATGCTGAGGCAGGGGGACTGCTATGAGTTCAAAGCTAGCCTGGACTACAGAGCAAACCCCTGTCTCAAAAAAGCAAAAAGATCAGTACACAGGTATCTTTTCCTAGTTAAGTCTAAAAGACACTGTGTGGTCATGTTGGTTCTTTCTTTTTAAAAAAAAAAATTTTTTTTTTTTTTGGTCTTTTTGAGACAGGGTCTCCCTGTCTGTCCTGGAACTCACTATGTAGACCAAGCTGGCCTTGAACTCACAGAGATCTGCCTGCCTCTGCCTCCAGAGTGCTGGGATTTGTTTTCCATTTATTTATATGTGTGTGTGGAGGGGTGCTGCATTCATGCCATGGCACATATGTGGAAGTCAGAGGACAACTTTCAAGAGTCAGTTCTGTGTGAGTCCCAGGGATCGAATCAGGTCTTCAGGCTTGGCAGCAAGTCCGTTACCGCTGAGCCACCTCACTGAGTGCTCTGGTGTTTCTTTTATGTTGCAGGCTGCAATTACTATCTCTTGAAGTACCATGAATTACACTTGTAATAATAATTTAGTGCTTTTATGTATCAGGTATGTTACTTGCTTAGTATAGTTTCATCTTTCTAGCAATTTTATGAGGTTGATTTTATTATCTTTCTGTTTTAAAGATGAGAAAACAGGAGTTGAGAGATGGTGTATCTTGCCCATGCCTACACAGTTGGTGAACAGTAAAAGCACATCTTTTGACTTCTGAGGTAGGATTCTTAGCTCCTGTACTCTACCACTTGTATATCCAAAGCTAATTAGCTTGGTTTTTTTTTTCAACTTAACTGGACATACTGGAACTACAGCTACTGTGAAGAATCTGTCACATGGGTGGTTCAGTGGTAGAATTCTCACCTGCCATGTGGGAGGCCCAGGTTTGATTCCCAGCCCATGCAAAGTCCAGTCCCCTTTGGGGCTGAGGAGATGACTCAGGAGTTAAGAGCACTGCCTACTCTTGCAGAAGACCCAAGTCATTAAAAAGTTCGTCATCTTCGGGGGCTAGACAGATGGCTCAGCAGTTAAGAGTACCAGCTGCTCTTGCAGAGGACCTGGATTCAGTTCTCAGGACCCACACGCTAACAACTATTGGGAATACCAGTTCCAGGGAATCTGATATACTTTTCTGGCCTCTGTGGGCACTACATGACATAGGTGCACTTACATACATGCAGGCAACACACTCATACACATAAAATAAAAATAATAAAATATTTTTAAAGTTCTCCATCTTTCTCACCCACAATATCACTAGCTCTAAATGGGGGCAAGTGACAGGACAGGAACAAAGTATGAAGGGTAAAATGGCCTGGTTTGAGTGACTATTTCACTTTTTTATCTCTTTAAAAATGGCCAACTCATTTAAAATTTGTTATTATTGCTTAATGACCTGAGGTACTTTGATTACTAAGCCTCCTGACACTGAGGGTAGCCTCTTCCTGTTCAGACTAGGGATGGCAGACACCTGGGGAAGCAGTCGGAAGAGGGAAAGACCCTGGGAAGGCTGCCCAGGAGAGCTCTGACAAGTAAGGTGAACCTGTATTAGAAAGCTGGAAATCAGATCTACAAAGACCCTTGTACATCAGGTCACCAGTCAGGGATCTGAACACACCTCTTCAAAATTAGGCAGGTGTGAACTGAGACCTGCTCATTTTGTTCTTTTCTCATGTTATACTGGCAACTCTTGCAGTAGATTTATTGATGCCCTCGTGCTGGAATGTTCCCCAATATCCATTCAAAATACCCTACATACTAAAATATTTAACATCTGTGTGTTCTGATCCTTTCCCACACCCTCAAATTGAGTTCTGCCATCTTACCCCTTAACATAAAAGGCCAGGGATGGGAGCATGACTCACTCTGTAAAGTGCTTCCCACACAAATATGAGAACCTGAGTTCAGATCCTAGCACTGGAGTAAAAAGCCAGGCTTGGGTTAGCACCTATAATCCCCATGCAGAGGAGGTGGAGCTTGGAGGACCCCTGGAGCTTGCTGGTCAGCCAGTCTAGCTGAATTGGTGAACTCCAGATTCAGCAAGAGAGACTCTGTCTTAAAGTATAAGGTAGAGGTCTGGTAAGATGGCTCAGCAGATAAAAGTATTTGCTTCCAAGGCTGAAGACCTGAGTTGGATCCCCAGAATCCACATGGTGGAAAGAGAAAGCCAGTTCCGACAGATTCTCCTACTACTCCTGACAATCGCAGCTCCACAAAGGCAGGCCAGTCTTTCATGTTCTCATGGCTTTGCATCCTCAGCCCACTGGCCCTACCCTTCAATCTTTCTCATATCTCCACTTGGCAAATTCTTGCCCTTCCTTCAAGGTGTCAGCTTTTTCTGAATCCCTTTGGTGTTTCACAGAGTGCTTGTCACATTGTGTTACAACTTCTGTGTGTAACTGCCTGCCTCCCTATATAACTGCAGTGACTGTAATAATAATACAGTGAAAAAGAAGAGTATGATGAAAACTTAATGCAGGCCAGTGAGATGGCTCAGCAGGTAAAGGTGCTTGTTGCCAAGACTGAGGACCTAAATTCTAACCCTCTCTCTCACTCACACACTAAATAATAAAAATGTAAAAACAAAAAGCTGTTATCATTGTGATTACACACAAAGAAATAGAAAATCAAGTATGACTGAATATCTATCAACAGAAGTAAAGAATTAGAGTGCATAATTGCTATTAGTTCTAAGCCTTTACAGTGAAACTTAACTGAAGGAAAGAGAATGAGACCTCCTGAAATGGAGCCACTTCTCCCATTTTTCAGTCAAGTTAGTATGACCTGCCAGCTGGCTGCGCCCAGAACTGCTCAGTCTGGTTACCTGTGGGCATCCAGGTGACTGTAGCAGAATTTTGACCCCTATAACCATAAGTGGGAAGCCCACACCAATATCTTTCCCTCTAAAATTAAATCAAACTCGGGATTTTAAGGATATGAAGTCATCAGGTTAATAGGAACATCATTCTATTATTAGTAAATTCATTATTATCAGTAAATTCATCATGAATAATTACAGCTTGACTCTTAAATGTTCTAAAGTGCTCATTGGCCTCAATAACCTTAATTGCCAAAAAATTACCTACATTGAAATGTGTGCCAGCTAGATTTATATGAAGCGCTAGAAATGACTCCATTCCCTTCCAAACATAAACGCAAAGCAGTAAATAACAGGTTTCTAGTTCCGTACTGAATTCTGTGAAAGAATAAGCTACAAGTTACAGTGTAAGATCAAAACTGGTTACAGACTGTAATGTCGAAAACCACACTAGGGCACTTCAATGACGTTTCTTTAAACCACAGCAATACTAGGGGGCACAAGCAGACAAGGCTCTGAAAGATTCGCTCAAGCAGGAGACCCTGAAGGAATCAGCCTGGGAGAGGACACTCCCTGCCCACTCAGCTCTCCATAACAGCGGTCTCTGGGGTCTCAGGATTCACAGGAACGTGAGAGGTGGGGGCGTTAGAGGTCTTTCTGAGCTCCGGGAGGGCCTGTGAGTCCTTTAATTCTGGGACCGCTCGGCTCAGAATGCCCTTCAGCAGCTGCATTTCTCGAAGCAGAAGGTCCACCTTGGGCTGCAGATCTCCTTTGGACCGTTCCAAGGGCGCGGGCGGAGGCGCGCAGGCGTGCGGCCGAGCAGTGGGGACCTCGCCATCTGGGAGCTGCAGCTCTGCAGAGGTGATGTTCGGGACGGAAGTGACCGATGGGACGGATCTGGACACCGGGGGCTTTCGGAAGGAAAGCGGCTTGTTGCCGGGCGCCAAGGCTGCAGCCTGTGGGGCGGACGCGATGGTGGACTGCAGATCCAGGGCAGAGCCTGCGAACGCATCACGCCTAGTGACCCGGGCTGCAGTCGCGGGCTCTGGGCGAGCCGCCACGTAGGGAGAGGCTCGGGGCTGCGGAGGGGAACTAGGCGGGCGGGAACAGGGACAAGGGCGCGCAGCAGGTGAAGGACTGGGATAGGGAGGCGGAGAGGCTGCGGAAGGGCGGGGGAGCGCCACGCGTGGGTGCAGAGGCAGGGCTGGTGCAGGAGTAGATGTCCCGGGAAGGTGTGCTTTCTCACCCCGCCCCGGGAGCTGCAGCCAGGGACTGCGTTTCCGGACACTGCGGGTGGCGGTAGCCGCCTCGCACCAATACGATTCGAGCTCGTCCACCTCCGGCTCCGGGACTGTGTATTCAGAGCCCCAGTCGAAGCGGCGCACCGGGCGGCTGTACTTGTAGAAAGCGAACTGCAGCGGCGTGTCACGCTTTTGCGGGTGCAGCCGTGTCTCGCAGCGCAGGACCACGCCGCCGCGGGCCTCCTGTGGGCTCATCACTTTAAGTGCCGGCGTCTGGAACAGCTCTGCAGGGAAAGATGCGCATTGGGTCTGCACAAGGGGTGGTACCCGACAAGGGCTAACCTCGGTACCCCTTTCCTTCCCTTTTCCGGAGAGGGCTCCTTGCGGACCCAAAGACGAAGAGGGGATGGGAGAAGGGGAAGATGAGGGCTGGGGTGGGGACGAGGGTAGTTCGAAGGAAGGCGGGAGCAGGACAGATGCTTCCTGTTACATCCAAGCTGACCCGTAATTGGAATTCTGTAGTCTTGAAGGGGGAACTGCATGTTCCTTGTGGTTCCTCTTCGCAGTGGCAGAGCACTTCCTACCGCTGTCGGAGCCCTTCTGATTGGGACCATGGCCAGAACTCATCACCCCCTAAGTGGGATCCCTCGCTAGAACACCACGAACCTACAACGCAGGCTGCAGATCTCAGCCCTCCTCTTCTTCCCCCCTTCTGGTTCCTGACCCAGAACTTCCTAGTGTTCATTGCTTCGCTCTGGGATCCCCCACCTTGCACGGTCACAGCCACCTTGGTGGAGAACATGGGCGCGCTCTCCACCGGGATCCTCATGGTGCCAGAGCACTGGTAGCGCCCGCTGTCGCTGGCACGTGCCTGCAACACCGTGTAGTTGGTGCTAGAATGAAAGTAGCGCACCGCCTGGCCATCGAGATAATAGTGAAGTTTGTAGACGATCTTGTCGTACCAGCCCCGGCAGCGCATGACCAGTGGTTCTCCTTCGAACACTGCAGCGTAGGGCACCTGCAGGATCAGCCAGTCTACAAAAGATCCCGCAGACCAGCCACTTTACTCTTCACAAAGACCTCCAGCCCTTCGGTTCTCCCCTTCTCAGCCTCTGCCCCTCACACCCACACTCATCCCCCCCAACACACACCCAATAGCTGCTTTCCCTCTCCTGGCCATCAAAACCTCTTCCTGTTGCTTCACCTAGAGATTGCACCTGCGATCCTTGCAGTGCAGAAAACTCAGAGGAAGGAAATGGCACCAGGGAAGCCAAGATGCCCCAGATTTGGTTCCAGTTTTCAAAGAGTCGCCTGTCAGAAACAAGCTTTGACCTCTTAGTCTGGCTTCAAGGCCTTCCTGACCTAGTCCCTGTCAACCTCTCCCCTGCCCCATCTCTTCTTTATGGTCCCACCTTTCATTCAACACAGGCTAGGTCCAGCCACATGAACAGCTGAGAAATTGACCATTTTGAGTTCAGGGCCCTTGTACACATGCTGTTTCCTCAACCGAAAAGACCCTCCTGAGTTTAAGTTGAGGCTTACTTGTTTCACATATCTAAGTTTAAATTTTTGGTTTGGTTTGGTTTGGTTTGGAGATAGGGTCTCCCTGTAGCTCCAGCTGACCTGGAACTTGCTAGGTGGACCAGGCTGGCTGCAATCTCACAGAGATCCCCCTACCTCTGCTTCCTGAGTGGTGGGATTAAAGGTGTTGTACCCCTATACCAAGCCTAAGTTTAAATCTTTCACCCTGAAGGAAACTTCTCAGAGGACAGCTTTAGGTATCTCCCATAGTACCCTGTATTTAACCAATCATCATCGTCGTCATCATCATCATCCCAGTCGACACTTAATACCCTTAGCACATACTAGATGCCATCTTTGATTTTATACATTAAAAAAGAATTCTTCAGGTCAGGTGTGTTAGTGCACCTCTGTAATTACAGTACTTGGGAGGCTGAAGCAGGAGGATTACAAGTTCAGGGTCCTTCTGGATCACATAAGGAGAGCCTGTCTGAAGAAGAATTAGCAAATAATAATCAGTCTGTGCTAAATCTCAGGATATGAAGTGTTATTTGCTAATTTGAACATTGAATGATGTCCTTAAATTCTGAAAAAAAAAAATTGACACCTGCCCAGGTAAGATTATAAAGCCTTCCCATATGATGTAGCCAGTCTTGTATCTTAGTGAGCAACATATTATTTTTCCCATCACTGCTTGTTGTTGTTTGTTGTTAGTTTTAAGATAGGTTCTTACTCACAATGTAATCCTGACTAGGTGTCAAACTTGTGATCTTCCTCCTACCTCTGCTTTGTGAGTGCTGGGGTTACAGGTATATACCACCACACCTAGTGCTCTCATCTCTGTTTTGAAACCTTTCAAGTATGTCAAGAGAGTCCATGTTTGAATTGATTCATTAGTGTACATGTACACGTGACTAGAACAAAAGTTTGATTAATTATTTTGTTTAATTACTCCTTCCTTCCCCTCTTTTTTCTTCATTCTCTTTCTTTTTTCATTCTTATTTTTTTAAAGTATATTAAGGGTGCCATAGACATGGTTTAATGATTAAGAGTACACTCTGCTCTTGCAGAGGACCCAATGTTGAACATTAAAAAAATATTATTGGTCATTTTGTGTTTCCTCTTTTGACAGCTGTCTTTTCATTTCATTAGTGGGTTTTATTAATTGACAGTTTTGTGGGGGTTTTAATTCTTGTGTTTCATTTTTGAAGCTCTGTATATAGTCTAACTTTCAGCCCCTATCTGAGATATAGCTGGCAAAGATTTTCTCCCGTTCTGTTTTTGTTCTTTAACAGCACAATAAGATTCATTTTCAGCCGGGCCTGATGGCACAGATCTGCAATTCCAGCTACTTGGGAGGCTGAGGCAGGAGAATCATAATCCAAAGCCTGCCCACCCTACAGAATGAGTCCAAGTTCAGCCCAAGTAACTTATCAAGACCTTTGTCTCAATATAAAAAGTAAAAGGAGGCTGGAGATATAACTTAGTGGTTGAGTATTTACCTAGCAAGTGGGGAGGGAGACCCTGGATTCAATCTCTTTTTTTCAGTACCCAAAAAGGAGATAATTTTTGATCCTCACAAAAGGTGGAGAGCTAGGTCTCTACTACTTATGTAGAATACAGATATTCATACACAGGGAAGCAGCATACTATCTATCAAAAGTAATTCTGCTGACTCCTCAGGGCTTCTTCTGAGAAGCAGAATGTCCATTTGCTTCATGCCATGGCAGGAAGGCAAGGAGGACTTTTAGTGCCAGGCAAATCTCCCTGCAGATATCACTAGAAACAGCATGTGTCCCCCACCACATGATCACTTACCATTAGATACAGAGAGGTGGATGGGGTCACTGACGGGTGCCCCCCGTGTCTGGCATCTATATACCCCTGGTGTCTGCACCTCAATGCTCTTCTTGTGGGAGGGCAGGAGGAGATGACCCAAATACCAAAGAGTGCTAATGGGCCGGAGCTCCAGGAGCAGAGGGTGGTATCCATCACATCTCAAGGTGACCCGCTCCCCCTTGAAGATTGTGGTCCAAGGTGGGTGCAGAGACAGGATGGGCTTCTCCAGAGTAGCTAATATGGGAGGGGACATGTGTGGAAGAGAAGTAAGGTGAGGTGCAGCCCATAAATATAACTTGAGGTTGGAAATCTTGGAAAACCCCAGTTTCTCAATACATTTAACCCATGTACTAACCCGCCCCTACAGGAGGAAAGACCACAAGCAAAAGGCTCCAAGCCATCAGTCTGTTAGTCAGCACCCATTTCTGAGTGCCTATGAGAAAACCTAGTCACTGAGATTGAGCAAGAGTAGAAAAAGACACCATCCCAGAATAGTCAAGAACTAGGACCCCGTTTAGGTGGTTGGAATGGAACTTATAAAAAATTGGGATACATAGGACTTACCAGCTTGCCCACTGCTTGGTACTGCAAAACAAGGAAGAAGGAAGAAAGTGGGGGATGTTTTCCATGAGAGGAAAAACTCTTGACCCTAGGTAAGACTGAGCAATCTCAAAGCCTGTTTTGCTTTTTCCACACCTAGTTACCTAGCTTTGAGAAAGCCTTCTTATCCCTCCAAATAGAGAGTGAATTATCTGGACCCTGAGGTCAGAATAACTAGATCCCTTATCCACATACTCTTTCCTGTCTTACTCTCCCTCTTCCCAAATCCTGCTACTATCACCTCATTACCAACTCACCCAGAAGCAGGAGGGCCGTAAGTGTCCACATGATGGGTCCACCTGCAGCAGCTGCAGCAGCTGCAGAAGGATGGAGATGCACTGGCTTGGGGTGTGGAGCAAAAAGAAAGAAGACAGACAGCAGCTCTCCAATGAGTACTAGGAGACACTGTTTTACCTATCCATTCCTAGTTCCTGAGCTGAATATGTGGCACTGAATATGTCAGGTATCCAAGGCATCAGGCATTGTCCCACCTACAACCTCCATAGCCACTTCCCAGCTTAGTCCAGTCCTGACTCCTGTAGAGAGGGCGTGTAGAGCTGTGCCCTCCATAGCATGAGAGCCACATAGAACCCCAGACTCTAATGCCACCTTCAGGCTGCCCTCGATAGTCCACTTCCACTCCATCCCTTCCCCACCAGCCAATCTTGTAAGCCTCAACTGAGGAAGGCATGCACCCTCATGTCCACAAAGTCCACCTTATTTCTGCTTACACCTGATGACAGACATTGGGTGAGAGGTCTAGAGAGGTCAATGTTGAGTTCCAGAGCTTGCATCTGCCCACAGATGAGTAGACAGAAAGGCATGACTTGCCAACCATCCTTCCTGCCCCTGTGGGCCTATTCCCCAAAGATAGAAGTATGATGTATTTTCCCTTCTTCCTCCCTTCCCAAAACCCTCAGAAATGAAAAAAGTCTTCTTTTCTACTAGCCCCCAATGATCTCACCTTGTAGTTCCTCAATTTGTTAGTTCCTTTCTTCCTTCCACCAGGCCCTGAAACCTCTCCCCAGATATGTCCTACGCCCCAGGACTTGTGACCTGGCATAGAAGTCACTTCATCAGCCCCTTAGAAGCATCTCAGATTCGACCTCTCTGTTCTGTTTCTCATGCTCTCTGAGCCATGTGACCATACCTGAGCAATGAGGAACCTGAATTTTCATGTAAATACTTAATGAAGTTTCCATCCTGATAGTATGTCTCCCTGGACTCTATCCTCTCCACTCCTGTGGCTGTTTAGAACCAGGGCACCTGCTTTCCTTGGAATTCTAGCAGGAGAGAGATCAATTATCAGACATGGCCAACTCTCTAAGATAACATCCTCCAGTTTTGCTGATGTCCCAAGTTTCACTCTGAGAATCCCCTCACATTTTAGCCTAATGTGTGATTCCCTGTTAAAATACAAATGCCTCTTAGAGAAATACAACCACTCATTTAAATTATGCTGGATCCTGCTTTGGGAGCAGGTTTTGATAAGCGACAATTATGTAGGTCTGAGAATAGGAAAGTATCTGATAAGGTGATCAAGAGTCGGGGAGGGGAAGAGCTAGATACAGGGAGCAGAGATCACAGATAAAATTGCTTCATACATTTCTCATAGGGGCCCTTTGAGAAACAATTGCTATTATTTTTGTTTTATATACAAGGAAACTGAGGCAACAGAACCCAGGAATGTCTCAACCCAAAATCTGTTCTCTTATGAATCTCTCTCTCATTAAGGATTCAAGGTGCTGCTCAGGGCAGACTGTCAACTTTAGTCTTTACAAGTCTCCTGTCTTGTCTCCTTATTTTTCTACCTTTATCCACACCGCTATTCTTCCCTCCACATGAGCGCTCACTATACAATGTTCACTATATGTTCCTCTATATGCATATATTAAACCTAGAGAAATATTTGGCATTATTAACATAAATTGTGTTGTGTGCTGAATATTGTTTTTCCTTTACTTAAAATCAAACCCACATGCATCATGTTTATTGCTTCATCAAGTATTGTATCACATTGCATCTATTCATTCCCATAATGCCCTGGTTTCTTCCCCACTCTCTACTAGTACAAACAACACCATAGTAAACTTATTTGGTCCATATTCTAAAACCTCAATGCATGACCTAGAACTTAAAAGCCTTAAAACAGGACTTGATACAGAAGAGGCCTGTCCTGGTTTGTTTCTTCATTGCTGTGACAAAACACTCTGACCACTACCAACTTGGGGAGGAAAGGGTTTATTCAGCTTACATCTCCCAGGTCGCAGTTCATCAGGGAGCCCAAGGTAGGAACTCAGGGCAGGAACCTGAAAGCAGGAGCTGGAGCACAGGCCATGGAGGAATGCTGCTTACTGGCTTGCTCCCCTGGCCCCTGCTCAGCCTGCTTTCTTATGCAACACAGGCCCACCTGCCCAGGGGTGGCACCACCCACAGTGGGCTGGGCCCTCCCACATCACTCATCAAGAAGATGCCCCTCAGACATGGCCACAGGCCAGTCCAATAGAGGAAATTCCCCAATTGAGGCTCCCTCAACCCAGGTGTGTCAAGTTGACACTAAAGGTATCCAGCACAATTGACCCCTTGTCAACTTGACACACAAACATCACTATTAAACCATAAACTTTCCAATTTTTGTCCCCAAGATGTGATGTTAACCTTAATATCACAACATAAAACAGTACAATCTTAAAAACCCCACAGTCCTTAAAAAATCCAAACACTTAAAAGTCCATAGTCTCTTTTAAAAGTCTCAACTGTGGATGGGCTTCTGTAAGATCCAAAACAAGTACTGTCTTATTTCAAAGGGAAGACTCAGACACACCTAAGCAAAACCAAAGTCCAGCAAAGTAGCTCAAGACTGGACATCTGGGATTCACTCACGATCTTCTGGCTCCAAAAGGTACTGGTAGCTCCACTGCTCTGACTCTGCAGTCCACAGCACCCTCAGCTCGTCTTGCAGACCCAGGCCAGCTCCAGTCCACACCTGCCGCTGTCCTTGGTGGTCGTCTCATGGTCCTGGCATCTCCAAAAAGCTGGGGTTGCCACTGAAACTGAGGCTACAGCTTCACCAATGGCCTCTTCTTGCCTCTGGGTTGCAAAGCCTCAGTTTCTCTCCATGACCCCTTCAATTCTGGGGTCTTCGCTGCAACTGAAGCTGCATTTTCACCTATGGCCTTTCCTGGCCTCTCAGTGCCAAGCCTCAGCTGCTCTCTGTGACTCCTTCACGCTTTCAACATCAGAACCATGAAGAAGACTCTTACACATTACCAAGTCCTGCTTCCAGCTTGAAATAGAGGCTAAGGTCCCCTCTGTGTGCTGACCCTGAGGAAATACCTCCCAGAAGACTCCACCACAGTGATGCTGGTCTCTTGTTACTTACAGCTGATTTTTCAGCCCCAACTAACCACATCGATTGTCCCAATAAAGCAAAGGTTTTGCTTCAGGTTCTGGTCTCTTCTCAATCACAGCTGATTCTTCAGCCCCAGCCGACCAGAACCCACAGATTCTCAATCTAAAAATCTCACAGGAACAGCCCTGATAGTCTCTGCTTCCCTTTGAAGCTTCACAAGCCAGGCCTCCATCATCTACAACTCTTTCAGCATAACTGCTCCAAGCTCCACTGCAACAAACTGAGCACGCAATAGCTTTTCCAGCCCAAAGTTCCAAACACTTCCACAGTCCTCCCCAAAACACCAAGGTCAGGTCTGTCACAGCAATATCCCACTCTCTGGTACCAATCTCTGTCCTGGTTTGTTTCTTCATTGATGTGACAAAACACTCTACCAACTTGGGGAGGAAAGGGTTTATTTGTCTTACATCTCCCAGGTCGCATGCAGTTCATCTGGGAGCCCAAGGTAGGAACTCAGGGCAGGAACCTGAAAGCAGGAGCTGGAGCACAGGCCATGGAGGAATGATGCTTACTGGCTTGCTCCCCTGGCCCCTGCTCAGCCTGCTTTCTTATGCAACACAGGCCCACCTGCCCAGGGGTGGCACCACCCACAGTGGGCTGGGCTCTCCCACATCACTCATCAAGAAGATGCCCCTCAGACATGGCCACAGGCCAGTCCAATAGAGGCAATTTCCCAATTGAGGTTCCCTCAACCCAGGTGTGTCAAGTTGACACCAAAGCTATCCAGCACAAGGTCTCATGTAAAATAATGCTGATGAAGCCTTGCTGCCCCCTGCAGAGCAGCTGAAGGGTTTCCATGAGATGCAAAGTTATGGTCATGAGTTTCATACACACTCATTCCAAAACCCAGATCTAATCCATTGTTGGGTCCTGAAGACTTTACCTTCTTCATGCCTTTCTTTACAGTAATTTCTCACCAAGTAGCCAGAAAGAAAATGTAAATATTTCCCTCAACATCTCCTAGAGATAAACTGGAATAAATTCCAAACACCTTCTCATGGTCTATAAGGCCTTGCAAATTGGGCCTTTGCCTGACTCTCAACTTCATTCTTCTGGCTTTCTCTCATTCATGTCTATCCACACTGTGTTTATAACAGTGCATAGAACATTGCACGCTTACTCTTACTCTGGTGCCTCACTTACTGTTCTCTCTGCCTGAAAGGTTCTTGGTCACTTCCTAGTCCTTTGCAAGCTTGACTTCCTCATTTCACTCAAATATCATCTACCCTGAGCAGAGATCACATTACACAGTATCTAAAATAGTATGAATCTATCTCTTCTTTACTTTGCTTTATTTCTCTTTGGAACATTTTCCACCACCTGAAATTGTATTGTGGTAGATTTTCCTCCATTAGAATATAAAGTAACTGGCAAGTTTAATGGTCAGTTTAAAACCTATGCTATCTGTGGGACCACTTGCAGGATGGGTAAGTCAGATGATTCTATTCTTCTATTGGTGAAGAATGACGGCATTGTTTCAAAGAACTTCTGATCAGAGGAAATTGGGGAATAGTTGTCATAAATAATGAGAAACCAAAAAACAAAACATAATATAAGCTCCATGGAGGTAGGAATTTTTTTCCCTGTTCATTTCTGTATTACCTACAACAGTGACAATACAAAGCACATGCCAAGTAAATGCTTGCAAGCCAAATAAGAAAGAGACTGAGCTAGACTTGGTGATGCACACCTGTCATGCTAGCACTTAGGAGGCTGAAGGATCACAAATTTGAAGCCAGTCTGGAACTACACAGCAAGAACCTGTCTCAAACAAAACAAATACAACCAAGAAGCTGAACACTGTGACTGAATAGTGTTTGCAGTTTTCCAAATAAATTTTTATTTTTCTACAAAAATATTTTTTAAATTATTATTTTGAGACAGATTGTCATTGTGTGGC